TCCAGCCTGGTGTTAAAGCAGGAAAGAAAGGTGTAAGCCGGCAGAGTACACATGTTTAAGAAGTCATATCTTCTAAATTTTCATTCGTCTTAGGTTCGCGTAACCCGCCTGTACCAAATATGTAATAATTATTGTTACATTTAACTGACTTTGCCTCGAGACCAGACACGCATCACCCACATCGAATCTGAGTCGACTTCACTCTGTACAACTATTGTTTACCAACTCACATGGGGAATACAGAATCAAAATTTCGTATTTTGTAACCCTGACAGAGAACGTATATGAGTGATTAACATCACATGAAGACCGCCCTAAAAAGAAATACGCTCTAATAAGATGCCAGATAATCTCCAGCCTGGTGTTAAAGCAGGAAAGAAAGGTGTAAGCCGGCAGAGTACACATGTTTAAGAAGTCATATCTTCTAAATTTTCATTCGTCTTAGGTTCGCGTAACCCGTATTACAGATACCAATTTGTCATTTAGTGTGATACGTCTTATTCTGAATTCTTGTTGGAGAAATTACGCGGCGTAAGTAAACAGGTGATTCAACTGTTAAAAAATCTAATTTCTCTCAGAGAACTGCATCGTTGTACCTATATTAAATTAAATTTATTTTCATAACTAAACCTTCTAATGTGAGTGAGATATCCTTATTTTATAACATGAGTTAATTTTATATTTTCATCCGTTTTGGAAAAAAATTGGTAAGCTCGATTTGAGGGTCGTCTAAAAGCATGATAGCCAGAATAATTCAGATGTACTTCCTGTAATACCAAATAATTTCTGTAGTTTTGAAGATCAAACAGGAGCCTATATACACGTAAACAGAGAAAGAATTGCAGCTGATGGTCCAGGAAGCTAATACATTATCGATTTCCACTAATCGAATCTTGATTTCGATGTCGATTATTTCTATCTTCCACCCAAGTACTAAGTTGGTACGCCGTTCAGAACTGGCCCCTTAATTAGGGAATTTTAATCGCTGTTCTCAAGGTGTTGGGATACGCTTTAAACCGAAATTTAATCGACTTCAAAACTCTGGGAGTGCATTGTTTGGCGAAGTGTGCAGTTCACTCTTTTACTTATTTGCATTATGAAGGTACTAAATTTCATCAACTTAAAAACACACATCTCTTTTCTTACAGGACGATTTAAACCTAATCGGTCTAGGCCTGAGAGTCGAAAAATAAAATAATGTAAATTTATTTATACATTTTATTTGAAAAATCTTACAAAGGGGCCTATCATTTATCCATTTTATGATAACATTTTTTTTAAAAAACAAATAATTTTCCGTCAAACAGCATATATTGTTTCAATAATATTTAAGAGATCTTAGAAACGACACTGGAAACAGTTTTATTACTAATATAAAAATCCCTACGTATCCTAAAATTTGAATATCTGCCACTTCTTCAATAGTTCATATATCTACTGTTATTTTGTAAATAAACAAATGCTTATCATAAAACGTCATTTTCTTTTACGCTTTGCAGTAAATCCATATTTAAGTCGCTTGAAAACATTTTAAAAAACGAGAAATACATCAGTGTGTGTCTATGATACGCATCCATATACAGCATTTAGTCGGCTGCAATTACTTTGCTTATTTAATATAGTTATTTGTGAGTCAGAATTATTCAATGTGTCGTTCTACGGTGTGGACGCAAAACACGAATCAAGTCCATGGATTACACGGAACAGCACTGAAATCATTATAAACGAAGTTATAATTAAATGAACGAAAAGTTCAGACGTCTTTAGTCAAGTAATATACGATTAAGAAATGTAATATAAAAGGGAGAAAGGCCCTATATTGGCAATGTTGCCGAGCACGACTGCTGAAATACGAACGTTCGTTGTCGTTAGTTCCGGAACAGCAGTAAAGATTTTATGGCTGCAATAATCAGCTTACATTAACACGTTAAACACCGAGTCTTGGTCTCTAAGGGCTACAGGGTGAGAATTAGCGGGAGATTAGTGGGCTGTACCCCGGTCAGTAACCTGCAACATCCCTCCCAGTGAATTATAAATGACTATCCGTTTCGGGGGGGGGGGGATTTTGTGCGATATAGCCACCCTACAATGCATTCACTGCTTTGTTGTATTTTAAAATATTATTGTATTGAAATTGTATCGGAAATGTGTTACTTTCAAAAGAAAAATATTTTAATGGAAGGGGCGTTTTTGAAAAGATAGTCGTTGCACAGATATTTACCTGTCGTTTTTTTGAATTTCAAGTGTTGTTGTAGTGCTTCAAAAATTTGACTACTGAAGAATGTTCTAAACCACTCCGAGCCTTAATTCTTTAATATTTATTTAATTATTAACCTTTCTGGTTTTCCGACAAAAACTTTGTAAACATTTCTCACCTCCCAGATGAGTACACCATATCTCGCCAACATCATCTCGAATTTAAGCGCGTTAACAGTAGAAGTTCTAAAACTCTTTATATGTATGTAATTGTCTCCAGTTTCATATTCCTTTTTCTCTGGTTTGTCTAAATATTCTGTTCAGCACCTTATTCTAGATGAAATTCCATACCAACATCTAATAGACTTAGTGCTGATTTCTATTGATATTTCGTCTCGTGTATTATGATCAGTAAAGATCAAATTGCTGGTTTGTTTTATCTGTGCACAGGTTGACAATAATATCAAGCAACAAATATTAAAATACGTATTTACTGATGGTTGCAAGCTGTGACTATACCACGTCATGTTGTAACCTGCCTCTCACAAAATTCATTAGTTCACTTTCAACAGTCATATGCTAGGATGTCTTTCTCGTACGTTCAACGAATAACGATAATTATACCATATCCGTCTGACTTTAGACATTCACAACACTTAACATAGCATTGTCTTTACTTTTATGATTTTAATGTAATTTATTTTTTGACAAAAAGAACATTTGTCAGAAATTGGTTTACATAACATTTTGATAACTTTGTATTCGGTCTGTAGCCCTAATACACATGTATGTATTTGTGTTGTACTTACAGCAGAAAATGAGACGGTAGGCCTAGTAACTGATAACGCATCACTTAAGAGTTTAAACAGCGCCCACCTTGTAACTCAACATTTAGGCTGAGTTGTTTTCCATGATTATGCCCGGAGTCACTTTTAATCTTTTCTGAATAAAATGCAGGAAAATTCTTTTTCGAAACGAAATACGCATTATTCCAGCACGTCTCAACTTTTCAAAGCAATTCAAATGCTACAGATCCTAATACACATTTTAGCGAAAAATTTACTGCACAAAGACTAAAAAAAAACATCGTACGAAATAACACATTTCTTTCTTTATAATGATTTATCTCTGGAAGGGACTGTGTATCGTCTCAAACTTGAAAGACTTTGTAAACAACTTTGATCTTTCAAATTATGAAAAAAAAACGTCCTTGGAGGAGTAATACGAAACTTATTTTTAAAATTCTTATTATTTAAATCCTTTAGGCTTTGTATAAAGTTCAAATTAAAGCTTTATAAGGACGAAAAAAAAACGAATTATTTCGACATGCAGCATATAATTATTCTAAACGGCACGTGGATTATTTATACTTTTACCTATCCTGGTTAATTAACTTGGTAGTCAAACTCCAAGGTTCATGGCTACCAGTGAAACGGTTCACCATGGACATGTTCCTCAGAGATTTCCTTATACTTCTGATGCTCACAGCAGATGTTCGTTTTAATTATATCCTCCCAATTGTCTCGGTTTTCAAAGTGGACGTATTCCGAGAATTTTGTTCATCAAATGCCGACTGGTTCGTACTTCAGTCAGCTACATTCTTTGTATTTCTAAAACTATGTAGAGTC